ATTAATAATGAGATTAGCACTTGTGAGATGGAACTTTATGAATACTTTTCGTAAGACTTTATTTTTGTTATGATGACTTCGAAGATGCATTCATGAATAGAATATTAGTCTATAATCTAATAGTACTTATACATAATACTTGTAACAAGTACTTGTACTTGTATACATACTTGTCTTGCATATATAATATATGGGACACCTAGAGAGCCTTTTAGGGTTGATTTCATTGTAATTTTATGGAAAAGCTTCCTGATTATGCATGGCTACCTGATGTTAAATTATATGGTACACTGCCTTGGACATTATAAAATGAGATTAGTATAATTTAATAAAGAAAATTGTGTGTACGTGTTGTTGCATGGGGATGTTAAAGTAAATAGAATTTTTGTCTCAGGTGTAATCTACCTTACCTGTTACATGAGTACTAAAATTTTTGTAAATTAGCAAATCTGATTATGTAGAAATTAAATCTTAAAATTTAGACATTTGGGATTTAATATTTAAGGAATTCAGTAACTTCAAACTTTTGAACTTGAAGGATAGGTTTAATGAATTTAGAACTTCATTTTAGAACATCAATTTAGGACTTCATTTTAGAACGTCAATTTAGAACTTCATTTTAGAACTCAATTTGGAACATCTTTAATTTGGAAAGTTTTCAACCACGATAAATAATTTCAAACCCAAGGGTGATATATCGGAAAAAACCCTCTTACACCCCGACGAATTTCTGCTCTCCTGTTGTAAAAAGCCTCGAGCCATCCCAAATCGAAGCCCGTTTGATCCGCGAAGACAATAATACAGCCCTGCCAATCGAGTTAAGGGCTCGAAGTATGTTTTCGACAGCATCGTACTTTCTCGATGGCATATACCGCTGATCCGGCATTCCTTCTTTCGTCTGCCGACGATCTCGTGAATCTGCACAGTCGATGAAGAACGGAGGTGTGAAAAATCATCTCCTGAAACGACACGCCTGATACACGGGAAACGAGAAGCGAACGAAGAGACGAAAGCACGAAGCACACAGAGAATTATAGAAAAGAGATGGTCTGAGTTGATGAGATGGAATATCGAGGGTAGCTCATGAAATCCTAGTATGAAGAAGCTGAAGATCATCTAAACGCCAGATTCAGATATGTGGACGGTGGAACAGGTTATGTATGTGTGCCGTGTAATTATTCTGTTTCTCAGCCATTTTGTTGTCAAGGGTGACGAGTAATACACGAATAATAGAGACTGTAGGTGGTGTATAGTGATGTATATAATGAGTTTTATTATAGTTAAATGTATAAATAAATATTTGTGTACTATTTGATAAATGAGAAATTGTGAAGATTGTGAGAAAGGAAGAGATCGATGGGGAGTAAATAGAAATCTGTCGATTTTTTGATTATGTGACGAATGACGATGATTTCATTCTTTTATTCTGTCGTTTTAATGCCTTAATATTTTTGCTATTTTATTATTTTGGTATTTTGTTAACTTTGTAGTATTATTTTATGATATATTCTTCCACTCTTATAATTTATTATTGTATTCATTTTGCATTATGTTACTAAACTATTATTACTGTGGGGAGATTTTATTACATTACTGTTTTATTATTCTAATATTTTACTGTTTTGCAATGTGTACCTGTGTATGATACTATAAATATCGATACAATACATAGCGGTGCAACGCGTGGTAATTATAACGCATCACAATCTAACGCATGGCGATCTAATGCGTGGTGATACAACGAGTGGTAATTCCAACGATATAACACGTGGAAATTACGATGTGTGGAAATTGCAACGAGTGGGAATCACAACACATAGTAACATAACGCGCGGCGATATAACGCGTAGAAATTACAAGACGTGAGAATTACTACGCGTGGAAATTACAATACGTGGGAATTACTACGTATGGAAATTATAACGCATGGGAATTGCAACGCGTGAGAATTACAACTCGTAGTAATATAACGCGTGGCGATATAACGCGTGGAAATTACAAAACGTAGAAATTATTATGCGTAGAGATTACAATGCGTGGGAATTACTACGTGTGGAAATTACAACGCATGGGAATTGCAACGCGTGAGAATTACAACTCGTAGTAATATAACGCGTGGCGATATAACGCGTGGAAATTACAAAACGTAGAAATTATTATGCGTAGAGATTACAATGCGTGGGAATTACTACGTGTGGAAATTACAACGCATGGGAATTGCAACGCGTGAGAACTACAACTCGTAGTAATATAACGCGTGGCGATATAACGCGTGAAAATTACAAAACGTAGAAATTACTACGTGTGGAAATTACAATGCGTGGGAATTACTACGTGTGGAAATTACAACGCATGGGAATTGCAACGCGTGAGAACTACAACTCGTAGTAATATAACGCGTGGCGATATAACGCGTGAAAATTACAAAACGTAGAAATTACTACGAGTGGAAATTACAACGCATGGAAATTGTAATTCCTGGTAATGATAACGCATGGAAATTAAAACGCGTGGGATTTACAACACGTAGTAATATAACGCGTGAAAATAATAAAACGTGGGAATTACTGCGTATGGAAATTACAACGCACAGAAATTGCAATTCCTAGTAATTATAACGCATAGCAATTGCAACACGCAGGAGTTACAACCCGTGGCATTTACTAGTAACGTTAAATACGTACACATATGAAAGCATACACATTCTCCATAGTTACGCCAATGATCATTACATAATTCAATCAAACTCGAATCTTGGCAAAAGAGAACGAAGAGGAAGTGGCAGAACATCAGCGATCTGGCAACTGGTCCAGAGTCCAGTGTTCGAGTAAGATGAAATAAACACCAGCTGCCCTTACATGAGATCCTGGTCGCAAGATGTTGAAGATCATCTCGAGAAACGGTCCATTATCGTTGCATCTGGATCATCTGTTCTCGCAGAGGCTTCAGGTCATTCGATTGTTCAGCCTGTCTCGATAAAATCGAACTACCTATCATGCGCGGGAAATCTTGGCGCGAAATTCAAATCTTAGAAACCTTTTATGATAATCAAGATACATTTCTTTTGTATTATGTACTTTTTAGATGATCCAAATTATCATTTTGTGTTAATAGATACATTTTCTATATATCTTTAAGTATGTCTACAAATTGTATGCTTTAGTTCAAACTTAAATACTTGTGATGTTCAATAATGAAACTATGAATTCGTTTTCAGTTCATTTGTTGTATATAACTCACTTACAATGTTTATTATCACAGAAAGTTTCTGTTATCACAAAATAACTGATAAATAAAATAATGTGTAGAATAATAATATTATTAAATTATTGAAAGCCTGTTTCTGAAGACATATGTACCTACTTCATATGCACTGTTCAGACTGACTGAAACTACAAATCCAATATTCAATAATCGTTTAATAAAATACTCATTTATATAAAATTAACTAACTTACTAAAAGTACATAAAGAATGCTTGAGTAAAATAATATTTAACCTTTGTGATCTGAGCTGATATAATATAAAATTGATCAACGTAAGGGAATTACAATTACAAAGGAACAAAAGAGTATTAAAAGAGTCATCATTCGTGATCGACCATTTTCTTCGCACACTTTCCATCTCATTGATCCACGCCACATGAATGAAACCCGCGTTCGCGTGACTGCGCATGCGCATAAGACCACGCGGTCCCGTTCGAACAAGATGGTCGCCACCTCACTCTTCTGCGTTCCTGTTCAACGAGAAGCACAAAAGTGAGTGGTGAACAAATGGTAGACGAACGACGGCAACATGGTAACGACTAAGAAAGCAAATGACGTTGGTCACTTTGCGGATTCGTTAAGATGGCGAACTCGTTTCCTCTTCTTTCGCGTCTTCGAGGCTCACACCTGTTTCACGTTGCCGACATTTTCGTTGCTGGACGAATGAATGAGGGAACAATACGTTTCTTGTGGTTCATGCAATCCTGGTCCACGCGGAACAAGAATGCGAGTGGTGAACCAATAAGCAAGAACGAGGCGAGACGAGAAGAACGCAAAATGGTGTTCGGTGAATGGAAAGCAGGAAACCTTGATAACGTAATCGAACACGCTTGTATGTGGCCGCGTGGACTTTGGCCTGTTGAATGCGGTAGCGGTGAATTGGAAATGAGGCTTTAGTTCTTTGTACTGATGGCTGTGTACAGGCGGAATTTTCTGACTTGAATATTTTTAAATTGGGTTCTATGTCTTCGCTTTTCTGGATTGACTAATTTTTAGATGTCTATATTTGGGGGCTTGGAAATTGGGTAATTGAGGAGTAGATATTGGATAATTTGGGAATTTTTTAATTTCCGATGGTTGAAATTTTTTTCCAAGGTTTTTAAGTTTTGAAGTTTGTGAACTTCAAATTCCTAAATTCCTAAACTATCAAATTGTCGAATTCCTAAATTTCCAAATTCAAAATTCCCCAATTTCCAAATTTCCAAATTCCAAATTCCTCAATTTCCAAATTCCTATATTGTCAAATTCCCCAATTCCCAAATTTTCAAATTTCCAAATTTCCAAATTCCAAATTCTCCAATTTCCAAATTTCTAAATTCCTATATTGTCAAATTCCCAAATTTCCTAATCCCTAAATATCCAAATCATTAAATCTCCAAATCCTGAAGTCCCCAAATCCCTAAATCTCCAAATCCTGAAATCCCCAAATCCCTAAATCTCCAAATCCTGAAATCCCCAAATCCCTAAATTTCCAAATCCTCAAATCCCCAAATCTCCAAGTCTCCAAATCCCTAAATCCCTAATTCTCAAAATCCCTAAATTTCCAAAATCACCAAAATCCCCAAAGTACCCCAAATTCCCAAAATTCCCAAAATTCCCAAAATCCCCAAAATCCCTAAAACAATAAAAGCACCATAATAAAACATAATTCATTGCAATAACAACAGAATTTTATTTCCACAAATTTTAACAGATTCAATGATATATACGTATAAAACCCAGTAAAAGTGTTTATTGAGAAGTGTACACTTTTATAACACAATATGATTATAATGACATTTATTTTCTAGTTATATTCAATATGTTGGTAGGATATTATTTGTATTGTATAAGATTATGGCATGACATCCTTGTACTTTCCCTTCCAGAAATCAAATACGTCTTTTTCCAAATCTTTCTCCAACTTTAATTCTTGATCAATAACTAAGTAATGACCGTCACTTCCCACTGGTTCCCACTTCACTGTGACGTCGTTGTCCATCTTCGATGAGGGATATCTGAAAAGAATTATTGGTAATTAATGCTGAATGAACATTCAGAAATTTAAGTGTGTAATAAAAAATTCTGCAAATGACACTTTCTCAAGAACCTGTCCTTTACTTGCAATGAGTAATTTTAGGAATTAATTTTGTTCAATAAGTAATGTACAAGTAAAAAAATATTAATACTTGTGTTATTATAATAATTTATAATTCTTAGCGAATTTATAATACAAGCAACTTTTAAATATTTTTAATATTTTTTGTTTCAATATATAAATTATTAAGTTTAACATTTACAGCTGCATTTATTTATACTCTTCAATTTCACACAATTATGTTCAACGATCACTAACACGTCAATAACGAAAATCAACAACAAATATTGAAAATAACTGAACAAAATAATAGGAAAAGTAACGAACCCATCTTTGGCAAAGTTCGTCCACATTTTAGTGATCATATTCGTCATCTTCTCCGCAGGAGAGCCGGGTTCTGGCAAATTCTTGAATGCGTGAGAGTAAAATATGTAATACAATTCATCACCGTGTGCAGCACCTATGAACAAATAAGTTACATTAGAATGACTAATATCGTTACTAATAATTTATCTGTTATAATAAAAAATCAGTAATTTACCATCGGTAACACCGTGGAGGTTCTTCATAAAACCGGTTGGAGCCTCATAAGTATACAAATATTCGAAAACTGGAGCTGAATTTCGATTCTTTATAATTTCAAGCGATAACACCTCTCCTGCCTTGACGTAAATGTCTCCTATCATCTGCACAATACAAATTAATTAATTATTTAGTAGAGTAGGAAATAGTGCTACTCTAAAATTTTTAGATTCATCAATTTTCATATTTTAGAATTTTTAATCTCTAAATTTTCAAATTTTCAAATTTCCCAAATTCTCAAACTTTCAAATTTCCCAAATTCTCAAACTTTCAAATTTTCCAAATTCTCAAACTTTCAAATTTCCCAAATTCTCAAACTTTCAAATGTTCATGATTCCAAATTTTCAAATTTCCGATTCCTCATGTCACCGAATTTCTAAGTTTCCAAATTCTGAAACACACAATTTTCAAAATTTCCAACTCCCCAAATTTTCACGTTCCGAAATTTTTAGATTTCTAAATTTCTCACTCACCAAATTCCCAAATTCTCAAACTTTCAAATCACAATATTCTCATATTTCTAAATCACCGAATTCCCAAAACACATAGTTCTACCCCCAAAAAACATACGCTCCGCCCATCTTGAATATAAAAATTATACTCTGTGCGCAGCCACGTATAAAAATGATTATATTACCGTGGCGTATTCTTTAAGATCGTCCTTCGATATTTGCTTTTCACCGAAATAGTGATTTCTCAAACACTCGCCATTTTTCTTCTTCCAAGTCGTATCGGTGAAGTTCAAATCGTCAGGAAGGAATATGTCTGGTTCAGTGTTTAGTAATTCGATAGAATCTAGCATGCCTGCAAAAGTTGAATCATTTTTTATATACAAATTTCATGAAGCTTCAAATAGTGTTAATATTCTGCTAATTAGAATGGCGTTCAGTAACAAAATTGAATATCTCGTTAATCATGGTGTTGCGTACCCTGAGCGAAGAATATGCCTTCATCTTTGGTGAGCCCAGTCAGGAAAGGCACATTCGCCAGTCTTCCAGATTTTATCATTGTCCAGGGATCATTTGGAAGAAATATATCCTGTCCCATGTCTGCTTCGACCGATGGGACGAAAGATATCAGGCGGCCATTCAGAGGATTCTGTGATCGCAGTTAAAAAGAAATTAAAATTAGTACTTTATACATTTATTAGTACTTCATTTTATACTTTGTATTAGTACTTTTAGTAGCTTGCAATGTACTATTATTTGATATTTATATGGTATTCATTCTAAGTTACTTTCTAGTATTTACACTGATATTAAGAGAAGGTTATTATTTATTAATTAAAGTCACCCTCAAGAAATCACCTTAGCAATTTTTGTCATTTAAAATAAAAAACCTATGGTCACCTAGCTTTGATTTCAACTTTGTTTTCGTCTTCAATTAAAATTTTAAAGAATTAAGAAAAATATCCAAGCAACTAACCAGAGTTTTATCCAATTCTATCGTGGCATCAACGATATCTTTCACATGAAATTCCGTCAACTTCTGCACCAACTCCGCACTATCTGTCGTGTGTATTCCAAGAGACTCTCCCAACTTGAAAGCCAGTTCCCTAGAGTTGTACGTTATTGCCCATGGGTTAAGTATGTTTCCACTTTGTACAATAGCTGCGGTGAACAATCCTGAAGCACCACATAACAGTCAGTAATTTTCAAAGTGTCTAAAACCTTGAATCCTAAAGCACCACATAACAATCAGTAATTTTCAAAGTTTTTAAAATCTTGATTAAAATTACCTTCGGACATAGGTGATAACATATGATACATAACGGAAGCTCCTCCAGAACAGTGACCAACCAGGGTGACTCTGTTAGGGCAACCACCGAAGAAGTGTATATTGTCCTTCACCCATTTCAAGGCTAATACTTGATCCTTCATTCCTGCGTTTCCAGGAGCATTTTTGTCTTGCGTGTTCAGGTATCCTTGAGTGTGAAACATATAATGTAAATTGTGGTGTAAAATATGGAAAGTTGGTGATGGTTAATTGTGGATTTTTTAGACCCTTGTGCCACAATGATATTCATGACGCACTGTTCAAATGTGATAAACTGAATTGATCAAGTGATGAGTGTGTTTGCATGGGGATGAGTCCGTAATGTTTCTGATATGATTTGGTCGCCCAACAATTCAATTAAATAAAAACTACAAATTTCCTCCAAATTTACCAATTCTCAAACTTCCCAATTCCCAAATTTCCCAGTTCTCAAACTTCTCTATTCCCCAATTTCCCAATTCCCAAATTTCGCAATTCTCAAACTTTCCTATTTCCAAGCTTCCCAATTTCCAAGCTTCTCAATTGCCAAGCTTCCCAATTCCCAAGCTTCCCAATTTCCAAATCTCCCAATTCCCAAGCTTCCCAATTCCCAAGCTTTCCAATTCCCAAGCTTCCCAATTTCCAAGCTTTCCAATTCCCAAGCTTCCCAATACCCAATCTTCCCAATTCCCAAATCTCCTAATTCCCAAGCTTCCCAATTCCCAAGCTTCCCAATTCCCAAGCTTCCCAATGCCCAAGCTTCCCAATTCCCAAACCTTCCAATTCCCAAATCTCTCAATTCCCAAGCTTCCCAATTCCCAAGCTTTCCAATTCCCAAGCTTCCCAATTTCCAAGCTTCCCAATTCCCAAGCTTCCCAATTTCCAAATCTCCCAATTCCCAAGCTTCCCAATTCCCAAGCTTTCCAATTCCCAAGCTTCCCAATTCCCGAATCTCCCAATTCCCAAGCTTCCCAATTCCCAAATCTCTCAATTCCCACTTTTCCCAATTCCCTAATTTTCTAATTCACAAATCCCAAAATCCCTAACTCTGCAAATCTTTAAATCTCCTTAATTATAGTTTTTACTATAATTGGTTAGACGACCAATATATAGAATTGAACATATATAGGATAGAACGCGACCACATCATATCAAAAACATTACAGACTCATCCCTATGCAAACACACTAATCACAATTCCTAATCCTCACTCAAACTGGACCTCACACCCATCCCACTATCCCTTGACTACTATGTTCTACTGTCTTCTATCTATCTCCAGCAATAGTATATGTATAAAAACTTGCAATATTGAAAAATGTTCAGAAAGAGTCTGATAATCAACCCCATATAAGCTCTACAAGTTTTCTTGAAAAAAAATATTATCAATTCTACCGGAATCCATCTAAACTTATCCTCAAACTTATAATCAGCGTTATCAAAGATCGCTGAATGCATAATACTTAACATTTTAACTTGCTTCACTTGAAACATTATAAGAATAATAAGCTATGATTGACGTAACAAAAAATTGTAGGTTAACAAGTTAATGTGAATTGCTAGAATACTTGTTAAATTAATTACCAAGAGCGCCCAATCTGTAATTGAGGGTGACCACAACTACGTCGTGCTCGACCAAGAAATCTGGACCAAATAACATGTCATCAGCCATGCCAGCATTCCATCCACCAGGATGAAGGAATACCATCACAGCTTTGCCGGCTTCCTTATCCAAAACCGGTGTGTAGACGTTCAAGTACAGACAATCCTCATCACCGATGAGACCCTTTTTGATCATGCAGTAAAAGGGACATACGGAACGGTGCTGGGTTGCGTCGTACACGCCGTCCCAAGAATCGGCGGGTTCTGGGGTCTGAAATGTTATAGCATTTTTTAAATTATATGTTATTTGGATGGAACTCGAATTCCTAAAATTCCTAAATTTCTAAATTGTCAAATTCTTAGATTTCTAAATTTTCCACATTTCAAATTTTTCAATTTCTAAGTTGGCAAGGTTCTTAATCCTTCAGTTCCCTAATTTCTTAATTTCAAAATTTTCCTATTTACACTTTTCCCAATTCCCAAGCTTCCCAATTCTCAAGCTTCGTAATTCCCAAGCTTCCCAATTCTCAAGCTTCGTAATTCCCAAGCTTCACAATTCCTAAGCTTCTCAATTCCCAAGTTTTCCAATTTCGAAGCTTCTCAATTTCCAAGCTTCCCAATTCCCAAGCTTCCCAATTCCCAAACTTTCCAATTTCCAAGCATCCCAATTTCCAAACTTCCCAATTCTCAAGTCTCCCAATTCCCAAGCTTCCCAATTACCAAGCTTCCCAATTTCCAAGCTTCCCACCAATTCCCAAATCTCCCAATTCCCAAGCTTTCCAATTCCCTAGCTTCCCAATTTCCAAGCTCCCCAATTCCCAAGCTTCCCAATTTCCAAGCTTCCCAATTCCCAAGCTTCCCAATTCCCAAGCTTCCCAATTTCCAAGGTTCCCAATACCCAACCTTCCCAATTTCCAAGCTTCCCAATTCCCAAGCTTCCCAATTCCCAAGCTTCCCAATTCCCAAGCCTCCCAATTTCCAAATCTCCCAATTCCCAAATTTCTAATTCTCAAATCCCAAAATCCGTAACTTTCCAAATCCCAAATCTCCAAATCTATAAATCCCCAAATCCCCAAATCTCCAAATCCTTAAATCTCCAAATCTATAAGTCCCCAATTCCCTAAATCCCTAAATCCCAAAATCCCCAAATTCCAAGAATCCCCAATTCCCTAAATCTCCAAATCGAAACGATCCACATTCACCTCCAATCAAAAATTCGGAAAGAACTTACTCGGAACTTGTGAGGACCAACATTGGGTTTCGCGTAAGGAATGCCTTTGAAGCTATAGTAAGGCTTATTATGCAGTATACTCTCCGTCTTCAATCCTTTCAGTATACCCTGAGGAATCTCCAACTGCACATCCTGTTCTCCACGTATCAAAACAAACAAAACTCCGTAGAGCAAATAATGAACAAGCCACATTTCAATATACTAACAGAAGCCGAGTTCATGGCGTTTCTTTTATAAAGGTGGACACTCGACGAACATGCGATCTGTATAATGACAAGCTGCTGAAAAATACATTACGTAAACGGTGCAGGCCGGAAAACATGATTATACAAGCACGGATAATCCATGCGACGATTTTTCCTATTCGTTGGACATAATGGCGAACAACTATAATTTTTCAAACGACTGAAAACGTAGGATATCCTGAATTTATTGTGATTGATCATTCCTGCCGCGAGGACTTCCGGAATTAACCGGGACAATGAAAGACGGAATGACACGGTGGCTAAATATTGTTTTTCGTAAGCGAAACAAATTATTGACCATTGGTCAGGGGTGTAATTTGATACGCTTGCATAGACATTAGGCTAATGGAAGCAACTAGAGTTATTTGAGATATGTGGAACACGTAACTTCTGCAATCGTTGCATTTTTGTAGGTTCAGGTAGGCTATTTTCGGTATTTTTCTTTTGTAGACAATTTTGTTTTGATATTTTTTAATACAGATATAAGGTGACAGAAAATTATGGAAGATAAAGATGGAAATAAAATTAAAAATTATAGAGTAAGTTGCGATGTGTAGTTGATTTATTTTGAGGTTAGAGAAGCAACTTTGTTTTGAATTCGAACGATTTTTTAAATAATTTTGAATTCAAGGAGTCGTTCAATTAAAATGATTTATGCAAAATAAATTAATTTTAATTAATTTACTACTGTGTCTAGACATTGACAAATCAATTACTCTGATAATTTTATTTGTTGTAAAAAATAATTTCTCTATGATAGATGTTAATTTTATTGCTGTCCAAAAATTTTTTTATTAACAATGATTTTTTAATCATTGCTGTCCAAAAAATTTTTTAATTATTCTCAATAAAATAAAAAGTAATGTTATATCGTTCAATGTAACAGATTTGAATTATTTATAAACCATAATCACAATACAAAATTAATAAAAAATTCATTAATTTGTATTATAATATACAATGTCTGAGTATCAGTTTGGTCGTGAAAGCGTTTCTAAAATAAAATCCGAAGAATAGGCGTAAAAAGAAGTAATACATAATCCTTTTATAGCTTGTTAGTCGAGTAAAATCAAGAACGTTCTGCTGGCCGAGCAAAGAAAAGAAAAAAGCGCGAAACCTCGTGACGTTTATTGGAGCGCAACACGGAAAACTTGCAGAGGGGTGAAAATTGTAAAGTTACAACGGAGTAAAACTCACCTCTCCGTCGATTCTACTTTCCTAGTAACTTATTTAATATTACTTGATATTTACGTTAAATTATTAAATTAAACAATTTGGTGACCTGGTTACACCGGCAACCAGGTACAATCTCGTTAGAAAGTTTACATTTCTTTACCTGTTACTTCCAGTATATTGATTTTCTCGGCATCGAACGATGTAACTATTTCGTTTACAATAAAAATGGAACGCGGTTTCGTTGGGGGAGATGGAATCGGTGGATGATGAGATTGTCCGAGATTATATCTGAATAATCGTGCATATAAATTTGTGGCAAATGAAATGTTACATGTTATTGCGAAAAGCGATCGAAATGTGCATTTCGGAATATTTCACCTCCTCGAATTATATGCTTTCCTGATATTTGAGCACCACTCAGCACACCCTCTGGATTCCCACAGGATGTACGTGACATTTAACCCTTGAGCAACGATGGGTCACTGATTCTAATCTACACATGATACATCTAGTATTTACACTCGGTATTTTTTCATTTCGTTGCATTACTATTTGTAATGCTTTTACGTTTCGTTGTAGGTGTTAATTTGAGAATTTTATATTTTTACTGGTCAATGTAAACTTTGAATAATATAACAAAAAGGATAGTGATAAAAAGAGAAAAGTTTCTAATGTCGCTTCTCGATCACCCGCCATTACAGGTTAATGTACATCTGCTTTTATAATAATTATTCAAAAATTCTCTGATTGGTTATGACTGAAAATGTTGTAAATAATAAAATAAATAAAATATGAAAGAGTAAACAATAATATTAAATTCGTGCATTGTGTATAATTCTCACAGTAATCATTTTTAAGAGATCATAAAATTAGCATCAAATCACTAGTTGCCAATAAGTTAAACATTATAATCAATAAAACGGATAAAATAGAAAAAAATTAAAGTACAGTGTTAACTTATGTATTGCTTGTAACTCCAAACATTACCTACATGATTTATTTGAATAAATAAGTATTTAATTTTGAATAGTATGTACAACCACATTGATGAAACTGTACAATTTTTAAGATAATAAAGTAATTTTCTGTTTAGTAAAGTAGAATTATAATGAATTATTTATAAAGTTGTCCAGTACTGTTATTTAATTCCACAAACATCAATCATTGTTATAATATACATTCTACATCAAAGTCTTGTAAAATCTTGGTATGGTAAATAATTTTAAATGAACGGAACAAAATTTTTAATATCGTATTAACTATAGATGTACATTGCAAAATTTTGTGTAATTAAGTTACAAATTGTGAGTAAATATACAATTACTTTATAAAGTTAAGTCTTGTAAATGTAATGATAAAATTGAAATTTGTAAGTAAATGGTAAAATAGAATGATGATACTACTGTGTTTTATAAACTGATTTAGAGAACATTATTTCAACCGGGGGCGTAGCTCAGATGGTAGAGCGCTCGCTTAGCATGCGAGAGGTACCGGGATCGATACCCGGCGCCTCCAAAATTGGTTCTTCATTTTTTTTTTACTCAAATTAATCTTTTTAACACTAAAGAATAGTACACAATCCTTTTAACACAAGAATAGTAATAAAATAACTTCCCACAATTTTTTCTGATGAACATTTAGTACAAAAAATTATAACACTCAACATACAACGCCTTCAAAGAATATAAAAATTCGTTTCTAATTATTTTTATGTCTCTTTAATACAAAGTAATAATAGATATTAAGAAAGTAAGCGTACATAAATTTATAATAATAGATAGCAAGAAAATAAGCATACATAAATTTTCTAAAAACATTTATTAAAAGAAAATATTATACAGGTTTGACGAACGGATACTATCTCCAAAACGAAATCACGAATCCACATCTCAACTACAATGGAGCAAAACGATCCCACTGTCCAGAAACAGCGAACAAACCTCCCAACAGACAAGACACCTCATTAAGATTGAAACAACTTCGAACAGAAATGAGGAGAACCACTTCCGTTCAAGGTCCACATCTTGATGGATATATAGTCACTTCTGACGATGCACATCAGGTAACTACAACAAATATCAAGACAGACATAAGTAATATAAAATTAAGCAGTGTATTTATATTTTATTAAATAGTTAGGTTATAAGATTCATTTAAATTAATTTCAGATTATATCTCTCTTTGACGTAATTAAATTTTCAGACATTGCAACTTAATCATGGCCGATCGGGCCCGTTGGAGGTACCATTCGAGTGAGATTTCGCGTTTGCAGATTTCTGAAGCTTTTCTTGATATTTTTATCCGCCGATTTAACAAAAATTGTTTAATAAATAAATTCTAAGGTGTGCTTTACTATTTTCCCAAAGTTTTACGGTTTTGGGGTAATTGGGATTGACAAGGGTGGATCGGGTCACTAGTTTGGGGATTTAGAAATTTGGGAGTTTGGAAATTTGGGGATTTGGAAATTTGGGGAGTTAAAAATTGGGGGGTTTAGAAATTTGGGAGTTTGGAAATTTGGGGACTTGAAAATTTGGGGGGTTAGAAATTTGGGAGCTTAGAAATTGGGAGGATTAGAAATTTGGGAATTTGAAAATTTGGGGGGTTAGAAATTTGGGAGCTTAGAAATGGGGAGGTTTAGAAATTTGGGAGTTTGGAAATTTAGGGACTTGGAAATTTGAGGACTTGGAAATTTGGGAGCTTAGAAATTGGGAGGGTTAGAAATTTGGGAAATTGGAAATTTGGGGACTTGGAAATTTGGGGGCTTAGAAATTGGGAAGTTTAGAAATTTAGGGGTTTAGAAATTTGGAAATTTGAAAATTTGGCAATTTGAAAATTTGAAGATTTAGAAATTTGGGAATTTAGAAATTTGTGGATTTGAGAATTTGGGGATTTAGAAATGTATGGATTTGAAAATTTGGGAATTTAGAAATTTGAAAATTTGAGAACTCACAAATTTAGAAATTTGGATCTTTGGAAATCTAGGGATTTGAGAACTCATGGATTTAGAAATTAGGAAATTTCCAAAATTGGAAATTTGACAATTCAAAAATTAACATAATTAAGAACTCACAAATCTGGGAATTTAGAAATTGGAAAATTTGCAAATTTGAAAATTCCAGAAATTAATACTTAGAACTCTCAAAATTTAAAAATTTAAGGGATCAGGCCCACCCAACTTCCCATCTAATTACCCCAAACCCTAAGTACCAAAACGCTTCTTAATCCCGAGTGCGGCTACCACCCATTGATTCTCATAACAATCAAAGCCTAACTCGAAATCGAGCTATTACCTCCGCAAGCACATTAAATCCTAATCTTTGTCATTACCAGAGTGCTTCATTGGATCCTCATGACATGAGGCGAGAATTCATCACTGGATTTTATGGCAGCGCTGGTGAGGCTGTCATTACCGTGGACAAAGCTGTATTTTGGACCGATGGAAGATATCATATTCAGGCAGATCAACAGCTTGACTGCAATTGGATACTAATGAAACGTGGCAGAGTCGATGTAAGTGCTGATTTGTTCAATTTTAGTAATTGTAGAAACTGAAATTGTGGAACGCGACTGACATTTATGGAATAAAAATAGAAAAATAAATGTAGCTGCATAAGTATGATTTTGTATAAAATATAAAAGTTATAGATATTCTGTTTACAATTGATTATAATAATACTAGTTGTAAGTGTAAGTGGAACATATATCATTTACTTGGTTACTGTTTTCATTCATTTAAACATTATTCAAGTGTTATAATTAAAGTATTATATAAAATATTATTAAAGTATATTAAAGTACACTTAAACACTATTCAAGTGTATAAGTTAGGTTATTTTTATTATTTATTGAACTATAAAGAAAGTTTAGGAACATAATATGCTATTAAATACATTGCAACATGTTAGTAATAACTCTCTTCAAGGTTATACATTTTCAGAAACTATAAAATCACCTATACTTAAATTTAAATGATACTATACATTTTTATTATACATCACACATTTTTTATTACGTATATCAATTCTTTGAATCATCTTACACAAAAAAGTATAGGAACACAACATTGAAAAACTTAACAGTTCTGAAGATATTTCAAGTCCTTTATACAAAGTGTCCACTATAAAACATCTGAAGAACTGTAAATTATATTTAAAATTAACGTTGTCTCTAAAACTCCTTCATCAAAGAAGAAATACAACTACATTAAAATCTTTTCATCTTTACAGTTAAGTTTTCTGTAAGGTCTGTTAATGAACTTGCTTGTAGATACAAGATAAAAATGTTCAAGGATAGGTGATTCACAGCAGTAGTTAGGCTATCGACCGCTAGATGGCTAGCGGACGTAGCGCTTTCTCGCTTAGCAAAGTACGCGGCAGAGCTATATAAGAGCTGCCGCGACAAGTGGAAGTTAAGACTATACTTCACAGGATCATTTCTGTAGTAAGTGAGTCTTTCGACTGGTTCAAACCAGTAGCCTGTAGCAACCACGATGAGGAGGCATAGCTACATTCCCTGAGCGTGAGGAAGACTCGAGAAATCGACTTTGTTCGGATTCTCAGTCATCGATGATCGTTCATCTCCTGTACTCAGTATGGGGGAGACGGGAGTGGAGCTTTCTGAGTGGCAGCTCCATATTATAAATAATACAAAAATTAAACAATCATCAAATGATGTGATTCATCATCTAAAAAATATTCATAACAAAGGTGGGGTTTTATATAAATATTTTATGCGTTATTACAATTTGGATATACTTTATTTTCTGTGATAGAGAAAATTTTGTGATTCTGGTTTTTATATATACAGTTACAATCAAGACTTTGAACATATATGTTCCATATGTCATAATACATTGTCTATTTTAAAATTTACAAATGTTTAAAATAATTATTATTCATTACAATGTTTTCTATGATAGAAGTTTGTGGATATACTTTATACATACATATACATTTTATTTATACATATCATACTTTATACATACATCAAGACTTTGAACACATGTTCCACATAAACATTCCACTATTTTAAAATTTACAAATGTTCAAAATGACCCTCATCACAACACATACCCAACATTTTTCCTACAATTTCTACATTGATATTAATAGTCTAAGCAGTATTAATAATTCCAATATTAATAGTGATGTATTGTACATAATTTTGATACAATATAAATGATATTGATCACCCAGGTCCCAAGCATAACAGAATGGCTGAAGTACCAGTTTCTAAATCAAGAAATAGCATATATTGGCGCTGATCCAACTCTCGTTTCAGCCGTCGACTGGGAAGTGTGGGAAGATGAATTAGGTAATGAAGTTTGACCAAAAAACATTAAACACGTCACATCAAACGAGTGAGGAATTTATACGGTCATCACACTTGTTCATCATTTGTTGTACACATACAATTTATATATCCATAAAATGATTCTTACAAATTAAAATGTTTCAATTGGAATCGTTATATTTGCATGATTTACTGTTACATGTTCTGACTTTAATGCATGCTGAAGTGCAGTTGTCAGTTAACCCTTGAGTGTCATATGTTGCAACTGCAACACATCGCAATGTATCAGTATATGAATATATATATTTTTTAATTTGTATATTACATTGTTTTGTTCATTAAAAAGTTATAAACAATTTTTGTCAATAATAGCTGCCATTTTGTTCTTGCATTAAGTACAAAACCTATGGACTTCATTTTGTAACTTAATTTTTGATTTTATATTATTTTAACAATTTTATAAATTAAATATGATTCTTGCATTAAGTAAAAAATCTATGGACTTCATTTTTTAACATAATCTTTGATTTGGCAATATTTTAACAATTTTATAAATTAAATATGATTCTTGCATTAAGTACAAAACCTATGGACTTCATTTTTGAACTTAATCTTTGATCTTATACTTGTTTAATAATTTTATAAATTAAATCTGATTCCACCATGATACTTAAGGGTTACACTACATGTGCGTACCTGATATGAACATTGTAACTTCAACATTACAAAACCCACATGATCATAACTCATCACGAACAACATAACAAAAACTGTATCAACATAGTAACTTCGCCATAACAAAGTAGTTACTGTTCACGTTAGGTCAATATAATTCACTATACGCAGTTAACAGATTAAATTAGAGTATCCCTAATTAACAATAGCGTTCGTATCCAGCAAATTCGTCCGTGCGATTGGTCCCCGTGCATAACAACCTGGTAGACTTGATCTGGCAGGTTGACAGACCAACTTACAACCAATACCCCGCCTATCCGTTGCACGACAAATATTCCGGAAGACCATGGCAAGACAAGGTTCAATCGGTCCGAGAAGAAATGCAGAAACTCAAAGCCGATGCGTTAGTTCTTACTGCGCTCGATGAAATCGCCTGGCTCTTCAACATCCGTGGATACGATTTGCCGAATACTCCTGTTCTCAGAGCTTACGCGATTATCACGATGGGATCGATACATTTGTTCGCGCCACGGCAAAAGATTCCACGCTCTGTCGATATACATCTGAAGATGGATATTTGTACGCACGCAAACTGTGTCAAGTAAGAGACATGCACTATTAAATATACAAATATCACGTTCATTAAATGTGCACATTTATCATAAACCACTTATACTATATTATAAGTATAATACTTATCTTCCAAATATTAAACTATTCAATTATATGAATTGTGACATAACTTATAGAAATATTAAATAATTTAACAAGTTTGTCATTGTAGATTACATGAGTACTCCTCAATCTGGCGTGAGCTGCAAACAATGTCTCAACTGTGGAGCACAGTATGGTTGCCAACACGTTGTGCTTACAGTCCAGGTGCCTCCATGAAAATATTTAACTCGGTACGTAAAACCACAACACTTATATACAAGTATAAACATTTATGTGTATAAACTACATAACAAAAAATATATCAATCCCTTACAATCTCACAATTTAAAATAGAAAGAATTCCCGCCTAAACACATAGGGTCTATGTGTACAAGTGTTAGAGCGGATAATCCTAGGCCAAAGCACACCTTCTTCAACATGTTCTCCTGTCACCATAGAGCTTGTTGAGCTTAGCTTGATCCCCATGTGACGAGCTGACACACCTTCATAGACGTGTAGACCAAACAGGGACAGGTCTCTTCCGTTCCTACAAAGTTCTCATTATCGAAACTCTGAAAACGTGATTGTCACTGTAAAAAGAGACGTGTAGTCAGACGGTAGGGAAACCACGAAGGCACGTGATGCTAGCTGCTAGACGATGTTCATGGTGGTGAATAGATTCACCTACTCTTCGGCATGGTAGCCGGAGCTTCGGGACGCCTGAACGCCCGCGGCATCAGGAATCAGAGAGCAGTTCTTCAGCTTTTATACGTCTTAGTGTACGAGATCTATTTGGGTTTTAGAAATTTTCTTCGCTCTCGAATTTATAAACTTTCGGAACCACAATCTGTAAAATTAAAAAATTTTCAATATTTGAACTTTGAATAATATTTAAACTTTCGGAATTATAATTTGCAAGATATTGAAATTTTCTGAGTTGTGCAAACTTTCATACTTACTTTACAAATTCAGAAACTTACAACAGCAGTATGAACTTACAAATTTCTGGAGTACACACATTGCTTCCTCCTGAAAATCTCCAAAGATAAAATTCCACACCAATGTTCGCCACTGTCTAGTTTGAAAATCTAACTCTATTATTAATAAGTGCTATTACTATTTTAACCTAAAGTAAAATATAAAATTTCGCAGATCCCCCCAAAGAAACGCTTACCAGAACCATCTCCAGTACTAAATATGCGAGCCCAGAAGAACAAGGTAGAAGCCGAAGGCATGCGAAGGAGTCACCTAAGGGACGCGGTAGCAATGTGCGAGTTTCTGGCTTACATGGAAGAACAATACGAATTAAACTCAGACAGCTGGGACGAGATGCAGGTAGCCAGACTCGCGAACGAGTTTCGATACGAGCAGGACATGAACAAAGGCATCTCTTTTCCAACCATCGCCGGGTACGGACCCCACGCTGCCATCCCCCATTATGAACCTAATAATCTCACTAATATAAAAATTGGGACAACGTCTACGTTAGTGGTGGATTCTGGAGGACAGTATCTAGGTAATAAATTCTTGCGACTGTTTTAATCTTGATCGTCTTAAAGGTGATCTTGTTTTGTAGACGGGACAACGGATGTGACGAGGACCCTCCATTTTGGGACGCCGACGGAGGAGCAGAAGGAAGCGTACACCAGGGTGTTAATCGGTTCGATAGAATTGTCAAAGCTGGTTTTTCCGAACACTTTGAAGTCTAATCAGTTGGATGTCGTTGCTAGAGCACCTTTGTGGAACGTCAGTTATGATTACCTGCATGGGACTGGACATGGGATTGGGCACTTCCTGTCTGTCCACGAATGTTTGTTTCATCACTTTGGAACAATTAAAAATGCATGATTGTTAAATTTTTATGTATGACAAAATCTTGAATTTATATAAAATACGTGTTTCTAGCACCCATTGGTATATCGTACATGCAGGCGATATCCGAGGAAATATGTGGTCCCGTAGAATTAAGACCAGGGTACTTCATGTCCAATGAGCCAGGATACTACAAGGAAGGAGATTTCGGTGTACGTTTGGAGAACATCATAGAAACCGTAGAAGCAGGAAGATCAGTACGTTGCTACTTAAAATAATATTCGCTTTCAATTCCGAAGATTTGTAATGAAGTAATTGTTTGCAGAAAAATTCTGAAATTTTTTTAAAATTCAGAGACGTCACTCTGGTTCCGTACGAGCCAAAATTAATCGATTACAAAATGTTAAATCCATCACACGTGAGTATTCTTTCTTTTATTTAAGAAAATTTTACAAAGAACAAGTTTGTTAAAGGTGGCATGTATCGATGAAAAATATGAAAAGACATGAGTAGACTTTTTGTCTATGTTTATTTTATATACAGATACAATGGTTAAATAACTACAATAGTCGAATTAGAGACGAGGTGGGTCCAGAATTGAAAAGGAGATTAAAAATAGACACTTTACGCTGGATGCTGAAGAAAACTGCAACCATTCCAGAGTGGGGTCTGGTCAACAAAGGAATGTCTTTTGGCCAGTCTCATTCATCACCTTCCACTTTTAAACAGTTCCATATATTAGTTTTAATTGTTTCCATTTATCATGTTATATCTAGTAAGTAATAAAGCATTTTATACAATGAGAAAATTGTATATCAACTCTGAGGATCTGCTTACATTTAAAACTTTCAGGTATATGGAGTTAATTAAAGACGGAAAAAATATGGAAATTTGTAAAACTAGTGAACGCAACTATAATAAAATTTAAAAGTTCTTTACAAAGAAAGCAAGACGCTTCGTAATTACAATAAGAATTGTATATTGAAGTTATGTTACTCTGTTTTTAGTATTACTGCCAATTCAGGATACCTTGTTTCTTAATGATTACTTTGTTAGTAGAAGATACCATGAAAAATAGCAGGCAAAAAAAATCTAATAAGTAACAAAAATTTAAGACAAAATGTTCGAATAATTATATTTTGTAAATATACATAATTTATTGTATGTGTAAAGAAGTTAATTATACTTAAAAAAAAAATAAATGAATTTGTAAAATATGGTCTCTAAATAAAAATATCTTTTGTCACACTCCACAACCTGAAAGATGTCTTTGATGCTCTATAAATTTTACCGATAAAATTAATAAGAATAAAACGGAAATTATATTCTCTTTGCAATGTAATATTAATAAATTAAATAATTTATTTTTAATTTACAATAATTCATAGTTAAAAGTTCATAATGAATAATTAAAAATAAAATTAACTGAATTGACATAAGCAATTTCTTTAATACATGTTATTTACATACTATCTACATACTTATGTTAGTTTCTTATGTACAAAACTATTATTTGGTAAGCCACTGAATCAAAGCATTTTTGGATGCTTCTTCCTTCTTTGACATTACTTTGACATTAGGCACTGTAAAATGTTTCACGATATTTCCTACAATAAATTAATATATTATGAATAAATGTACCATATAACATATAGTCAGATTCAAACCAAACATTAATAAACCACTATTAATTCTCCTGTGGTAATATAGTATTCAAATGATTCTTTGGTTTCTAAAACAAATGAATTGCAATCCTCCTTTTATTATATAATATACAAAAGCTAAAAACCACTGAAGCAAACATCTCAAAGAGCATTTTTTTCTTCAATCTATGAAGTTACTTATCACCACTGAAAAATTAACATTGTAATATGGTTCAAAATGTAAATACTCACCTACTTCTTCTTTATCTAATTTGTACGTCCGAGCAATATTGTCTATACAACTTTCAGTAGGATCTTTATTGTATTGGGCAATAAACTCTAGTGCCTGCCTCAAAGTACACTTGCCTTCAGGAATTATAGAAGGTTCGTAAACACCATATGAAAACGTAGGTTGTATACTTCTGTCTTGCGGTAATGGTTTAGTTGAAGGTGCATCACTTGTGCCTGAAGGTGCCTGACTCTAACAGTAATGACACATTATTTTCCTTCTATTAACATATGATCACGTAATTACAAATCTGTAAAAAGTTTCTTTGAGATCAACGTACCGTTTGACTTACGGAGGTAACAAAAACTTGCTTTAATCGATTATCTAAGTTCACATCCTTCTTCAAATGAGTTTCCATAAAATCAGGATGCACTGAAAGAAACATCACATTAATACCTTGTCTAAAGAGAAAGTTAAATTGTCCAAAACAACTCACATTTGTCTACCATTGCCTTCTGCTCCTTTACATATGGAAATTGTGGTGCAGGAGTAGGTTTATCCTTCGAAATAACACGTTCTACACGATTCGTAATATTAAATGTACGAATTGGTCGCAAAAGAAGAGAATATACTTTTCCCATTTTTTTGATCTTTCACTAGAAAGAAAAACAGATCTTAAATTTCAAAAGTCATAACTTAAAATGTATTTTATTTAGCATTGTATGAAAATACCACAATCACATAAAGTCCTAATTTCAATAAAATTAGTGGAAACTTCATATATATTTCGAAATAGTTTATACAAATGTAAAACTTCCGGCTTAACCTAAGTGTGTGTTAGGTTATGTTCATAACCTATACTGAACTTTACTTAAATTTAGTACAACAGTGTTAATATAATTAAAATATGATTTCAAATATAGTCTATAGATATTCAAGCGTAGAATACTCAATTTTGAACTTAAATAATTATTCCAAACTTTATGTCATTTGATACATATATTACTGTATTAGTACATACATTAAATAAATATAGGACAGAATGTGTTACTCGTGTTAGGTTACTGATATATAATGTTTATTTTGAAATCTGCTTTGCTATGCACAAATTACATATTTTATAATGAAATAAAACAAATATTCAAAGATTAGAGACGTTCCTATTAGAAAAGTACAGTCAAGTGTAAAATATAACATCCCTAGGAAAAATGGTAGCAAAGGGAAACAGATTTTGTCTAGCCATAAAAACATTTCCAAATTATGTCTATTTTCCAAAAGGCATTTTCAAATTAAATATTTGCAAGTACACGCTTTCCTTTAGAACTATGCTGTTTCATTACCCGCTTTCCGTTTCAGAAAAGTGGTTTCAAGAAACTACAAAAAACCGTTATTTATAATTGAATTTAGTAGGAAAGTTCCAAGAAGAAGATAAAAAAGTAATAGTTTATTGTTGGGTACTTATAAAAAGTTGGAAACATTCAGGAAGTATATGTATTTCAAAATTTACATTTTTGAGCAACGTCTGAAAACAATACTCTGGCGCAATCTCATGTGCGATTATTGAAATACAAAAATAAAAAATTGAATATTATTGGTTGAATTATGAATGATTTTTTCTCTCTGGTTGTAACTGTTTGAAGTACAATAATGATGTTTTAATTGCTCCGAATTGATAGCTTTGTAAATATATTATAAAGCGAGTATCAAATGGACGGTTCTTTAGGCATCTGAAAACTATGAATTTGACGTCAACAAAAAAATATGTGGTCACTATTTTGTAGGTTTAGGAATACAGTTTGTCCGCCATTATTGGAGGGAGTTTCAGAACGTACGGTGAAATTAGTTGCAGATGCTTGCGAAGACGCGGTGGAAAGAAAAATACCGTATGTCTCATTAAATTCAATAATATTAAAGTTAAACGTGATATTTTTCATCAAATATGAGAGCACTAATATAAGATTCAATGATAAGCAAGTATCGTGATATCTTTTGTGTGAAAATAAGTAGAACATACTACGCTCCACGACAGCTTACGCGTAACCGCCAAAATTACGGACAGAAACGCCATCTTGTGTAAAAATGTTGACATCTTACTAAATTGGGAAAGATTTTATAATTGTCGTTTACTCGAGTCTGGTGACTCGATTTGACTATTTATAAGTGTTAAAAAATGTAACTTTATCCACTAATTGACACATCAACAGGTTTTTTTATTACAAGGTGATAATTATGTTGTATAACGGGAAATCACGTTAATGAATTAACTCCTGTGTATAGCTTTGTGTTTACAAACATTACATGTTACATTTTAAGGATTTTACTGACGACACTCGATTTCTTTTCAGAACTCTACATAACATAAAGTCATCATCATGTTTTACGCACATTTTGTGTTGGCCAAAAAAGGGCCGCTAGCTCGTATTTGGTTAGCCGCCCATTGGGACAAGAAATTAACAAAAGCCCATGTATTTGAAACGAACATTGAAAAATCTGTAGATGGCATATTGCAGCCAAAGGTATTTATAAACTCAGAAACAATATTATTATTATACTTTTTATTTCTCCTTAGAATAATTTCAATCTTTGGAACATGAGCGACAATGTGTGGCCACTGAGGTCCCTCACTACATATTCATTGAAGTACTTTTTAACATATGTTATCTAGTATTGTAATATTATATAGAGTTATAGCTATATGCTAAAAGTTACAGCATTTATTTTCACAAAAACAACCATTTTTGGGAAATCCATAACCTGTGCTCTATGTTCTCAAGATTAAATAATTCAGTCATTTAAGATAATTATTTAATAAACAATTTTCTCAATTCTCTAGGTAAAAATGGCTTTAAGAACATCGGGTCATTTATTATTGGGTGTTGTACGGATATACTCACGGAAGGCTAAATACCTTTTGGCCGATTGTAATGAAGCATTTGTTAAAATTAAAATGGCCTTTAGGCCCGGCATGGTAGATCTGCCAGAGGAACACAGAGAAGCTGCTGTAACAGCAATAACATTACCAGAAGTTTTTCATGATTTTGATACAGCAATGCCTGAATTAAAGTAAATACTTAAACCTTATATGAAATGTGAAATAAAACAGCATATGGTGGTACAAATATTACTGTTCAGATCGCAAGTATGACTTGCTCAGTATAAATGTTTTATTACAGAGATGTTGATATTGAAGCACAATTTAGTTTAAACCAGTCTCGGGCAGAAGAAATAACCATGAGAGAAGATTATGGTAGTCTGGCTTTAGTTACTCATGATCAAGGATTTGGTGATATGAGTTTTGATGCGGAACCGCCGGAACTATTAAGACATGCTGGTGCTGTGGAACCATCATTGGATCAAGTATGTCTTCTGTCTGTTATGAAATCGTATCATTTATTAAGAATAAAATCTACTTTAATCTTTCCAGACTCATATGTTGTTCACTGACGGACCAGGGATTGAAGCAGCTTTAGAACAGAAAGAAAAAGAACCAGTTCCCGGCCCATCGGTGACGGCGCAAGCTATGGATATAGATATGCCTATTAGGGACGACGGTTTTGGTGGACATCTTGGACAGGATATTATATGTAAGCAGTTGATGAAAAAAACTCGGGCTAATTTTTCTCAAAGAAATTTGTACATTTGACCTATTTTTGTTCAGCTGGAGGATTATTTGAGGGTGGTTTATTTGATGAGGCACCAATGGGTGAAGTACCTGTACCTGAGGTTAGCGCAGTAACAGAAACACAAGAACCAGGTGTAGTCGCCGGAGCTGCACCCTCCGTACACGATGAATCTGAGGAAGAAATGGGAGATCGCTTTGGAGGACCATCATCTCCAATGGGTGGAATGAGTTCTGATGAATCCAGGCCCGTTTCGCCAGCTGTGGCCGGAGAAGAAGTCGAAGGAAGAATAAGTGTTGCAAGTCGCCGTTTTACACCCGCTCCGCCTATTCCTGAAGAACGTCCGATGGAAGCTATTGAAGAAGCACCACCACTACAGGACCAAACCACATTGTTGCATGATGAAGAAGAAAGTTTTGCCCTGGCACCAGTTGACGCATCTGCTTTAAAAGGTTTGTTGTATTAAAATATTGTGTCATTTAAACTGGAATATTGAGTACCGGCGTAACATTGCGATATCAATAACTTCAACAGGATTCACAAAAACTAAACGTAAACGTAAGCTTATCGTGGACGAGGTAAAAAATATTTCTGGTGAAGAAATGAAAGCACAATTGTCAGACACAAGTGACATCATCACAACATTGGATTTGGCTCCACCCACAAAAAGATTAATGCACTGGAAAGAAACTGGTGGAGTTGAAAAATTATTTGCTTTACCGGGAAGACCAATACCAGCACGTGTATTGTTTAAGGTAATTTTAATATTCATTATTATTTTTATACCTATAAAGGTTTTTGTTGTTAATATCTTTTTATTGCAATAGAATTATCAACGACATTTAACAAGCAAATCGTACGACCACGAAGACTTTGGACGTCTAGTAGGTGAAGAAGAGGGTATGCCTTTGGAGCAAATGAGAGAACCCGTAGAAGCAGAATCGTTTGACCAATCTATTCTAAATAAACGTATGAGCCGTAAGCGGAAAGCACCGTTCGAAGAGGAGGTACGTTATTTATTATGGAATTATATTTTTTAAGGTTTTGTGTTCTATGTATCAAATATAATATTTTCGTTTGTTTGTAGGTAAGGCCACCACCTCCAGCGCCAGCACCTCCTCCAATAGAACTTGCCCCTGAAACGATAGAAGTTCCAAGCATAGCTTCCCAACCCAGTCTTCCTCCAGAAGAACCACAAATACCACCTCCTGAAATCTCTTTACCGGCGGAACCATCATTATCCGAAATCAGTGGTATAGTGCCACCCGTGGAAGAAGCGGAAATGACTCCAGTAGTTCCCGAAGCACCTATGGTACCCACAGAAATGCCTGAAATTCCTCAACCTGAAGCTGTTGTTGCACCTGAAGAACCAGTTGTTGCCCCAGTCATTCCAGCGGAACCAGAAGTTCCAGCTGCACCACCCGCGGAAATGCCTCAAATGGAGAACATGGGCTATGATCAGGTAAACTTTGTATATTGCCTGTCGTACGTGTTTAATACATGCTGTTATTATGAAATATTAATAATTAATTGTGTATAACAGGCTCAACCTCAGGTACCCTATGTAGGATATGATGAACATCCTCCACCACCTCACACGCCTGCTATATCAGAAAGAGGACCAGCAACTCCATGGAATCACGAAGACTACGAATTCCCACCATCTGTAGGACCTGTACGTATACGATTTCGAGTTATGTTAGGATTTACTATGTCTAAGACAGATATATAATACAATTTTTTTTTCTTTTTACAGCAAGAAGAACAACAAATAGACGAAACGTATGAACAGTTTGAAGAACGAGTTCTTAACAAGAGAGCAGCACACATGTACCAAGTTATAAAAAATAAACTAGATACCAAAGATAGATTGACGCTATCGGAAATGGCATACAAAAATAATCGTAAACAGGTTGGTATCGAAAAGTGTGATTCATGGACATTGTTCGGATTTTTAATATATAAAATTAACAAAAAATTGTACTTTCTGTTTAGGTTGCACAAAAATTCTACACCTTATTAGTTCTTAAAAAGTTCCAAGTATTAGAGCTATCTCAAGAATGTCCGTACGCTGATATTGTAGTCAACAAAGGACCAAAATTCGAGAATCCTGCATTGTAAAAGTATTAGGTATTTCTTACCTTAAATCTACTGTTAAAAATGATCGGGAAAGAAGATTGTAACTATTTTTAATCTTACAGGAATTAAGCGATTTATCTAAATTTTTTTGAAAAATCAACTGTAAAATAATATATAAAGCTACTATGACTTGAATGAAATATCTATATAAGACGAAAGAATTTTATAAATCATGTTTTAAACGTCTGGTTCAAGAATGTATACGGTTTGTATAAACCAGAACGGATTATTTTGGACCTTCTGCATGTTTATTGTGATAAAAAAATGAAATTCATTAAATTATGCAGAAATTTGTCATTGAAATGTATAATTTTTTACTTCGGAGAAGGAAGAAAAAAAGAAGTCATGTTCATTACATTTATTATCAATCAGAACAGGGTAGGGTTTGTATATAATATATTAATAAATAGTAAAAACATTTTATATCTTAATGTTTACAAACAACTTCTTGAGTCTACTGCAGGACGGTCCAAAATTAGTAATAGTCTTATAACATAATTTATGAAGTTTGATACAAAATATTTTGTTGAATCAGAAAATAATATTATGTACGGTTTAAATTGATATATCGTATCGCTTTTTATTCAAAATTGAATACGTATTTAATTTTTTTCTGTTTAGTGTACTTATACATTATCTGCTATTGTGAACAATTATTAATGGAAGAATCAAGAGAATATTTTATGGATATAATACTTTTATGTATTGCAGTCATACTTTAGGAACAACGACATGATTAATTTATTGTATTTCTCCGATATACGCATAAATGTTACCTCTATTTTTTCTTCTACGCTTAACGTAATCTGTGTAATTATTTTTTCATATGAATCACTGGGAATTTATGATCCACCATAAGTTATATCTGCATTGTGAATAACATTCCAAAGAGCTTTAATTTAATAGTCACATATTTGTGAATTTATTTTTATCATGGAATTTTTTTAAATCGTAGCTTGAAAAGTGTTCGAATTATTTGAAAATATACTATTGTTTAACCATGTTTAGCCGCTATTTCTTAAAGCAAATAGCGTGTGTGGTAATTTAATTAATTCAACAATGAGAAATGTTCAATAATTTATTGTTATATATGTATACCTGCTTTACAGGATACAACTGTTAAATCGTATTAAAAAAAAGGGAATACTATATTTTATCAAATTGACATGTCAGAAATATTTCAAGAGCAATCATATTACATTGTAAATATACATGCATAGTAAACAATATGAACTGTCATTATGCACGTATGACTGTTCAAAGACGCGTCAGAAAAAAAAACGGACTGCTACGATATATACTTGAAATGCCTGATTGTAAATAGTCTCATGATTCATTAATCGATATACATCTGTTTATAAAATAAAAAAGAAAGAGAAAAATATTTCTGAAATATTCCTTTTGAAATTCGATCCCTAAAGTACATATCACATGATACTTAAAAATATTAATCCATTATTTTCCATTAATAAATTGTTACAAAATCGTACGAAAATTTACTAAGTTAATGTTAAATGTTCCCTTTATTCGTTCTACCTATATGTATCACATACATATGTGCTAAAATTATATTAAATATTTTTTTCACGATAGACGTATTTCTTCATTGTACTACACATATTTGTTATTCACATCCCGTTTCATCGCTCTATGTAAATGTTTGGAAATCGCACTTTAAGTAATGAATGTTTTACATTAAATATATTTTAAGAAACATACCTTCTTTTAATTTCCAACGAATGCCAATAAAATCGCTTTTTACAAAGAATCGGTAAAAACGGAGTGTATCAACTTTCTGACCGGGTTTGTATCGTTAGATAACAAGTTCCGGTCAGTGCCTGTAGATGGCGGGAATATTCAAATTTTAGGGCGCGGTTGTAATAATCTAATTTTACAATTTACTAATAAAAATTATAAAATTCGATAACTGGATGGTGAATGTGTTATGTATGATATGTAAAAATATGCAGGATACGTATAAATCTGAAGTTGCATAGAAAAGTGTATATGGGACACGTATGCTTTCAAAGAATGTAATCTGATGATACAAAATAATTTTTAATGAATGCGTTTCAACGTAGTTGTAATAAGTTTAAATAATTAATACTTGATACATGACATATTTTTTTTTAGAAAATCTTGCAGATTTAATTATTTTAGGAAATAGTATCTAATTCTAAGAACTCGTACCTCCTTTACCGTCGTATTCTCCTAATAAGAATTTTCGATTTTGAGTTTTCGATTTAAATACAGATAAGTTCAGATAATACGTATTTAGTTTTTCTGAGACTTTCAAATAAATTTATGTATAATTTTCTTTTTCATCCTTCATATAAAATATATACATATACAAAATATTTACATATTGCTAAATTATTTAATTAATAATTTATACAAACTTCAACTTATTATTTTTGCAATTAAGTGTAAAACAAAATATTATTTTATTTTTAATTATTTGTCATTATAATTAATAGTAAATGTTATTATAATATCAGAATATTCAGCATTGATTTTCAAAAGCAAAATAAATGAAAAAAATCTGTGCCACTATAGTTTTATTCCAATGAACCAGACTGTGAATATTTTTATGCTTTATGTTGCGTCGTCGTGAAAGCTCGTAGAAAATCAATAGCACTGTGAAAAGTTACGCTGACCAAGGGAACACACCATGCTCCTATATGAACATGTAATGACTAAGGGTAGAATGCGTGATACATTTTTCCACGAAGTAATTCAATAAGGGTACAAAAATTACATGCAATACCTGCAGTCTCTCTAATGAGTTTCTAATCGATACAAGTTTACGACGCAAAAGGAGTTTAGGATTTTTCAGAAGGCTTAGGTTTCGGGATTTGGAAATTTAGAGTTTTGGAATTTTAGAATTTTGGGAAATTTTAGGTAATTTCAAAATTTAGGTCATTTTTAGAAGTTTAAGAATTTAGGAAATTTTTAGAAATTTAAAAATGAAGGCAGCTTTTAGAAATTTCAAAACTTAGGCAGTTGTTAAAAATTTCAAAATGGAAGCAGTTTTTAGAAATTTCAAAATTAAGGCAATTTTTAGAAATTTCAAAATTGAGGACATTTTTAAACATTTCAAAATTTAAGCAGTTTTTAGAAATTTCAAAATTTAGGCAAGTTTTAAAAATTTCAAAATGGAAGCAGTTTTTAGAAATTTCAAAATTAAGGCAAGTTTTAAAAATTTCAAAATTGAGGCAGTTTTTAAAAATTTCAAAATTGAAATTTTAAAATTGAGGCAGTTTTTAGAAATTTCAAAATTTAGGCAGTTTTTAGAAATTCCAAAATTTAGGTAGTTCTTAGAAATTTCAAAATTTAGGACATTTTAAGTAACTTCAAAATTTTGATACTTTCAGAAATTCTTTATTCTTAGACTTTTTATTCTCACGTTGGAACTTTATCATAAAACTCAACCCCACGTTCGTATCTCCCTTCACGGCAATATAACGGGAGTCCATAAAACAATACATCAAAATTACAATACAGTAAAGCACCTCTATTTCAAATAACCGTAAAAGTACTGAAATATATCACAGTACTGATCACATCAAATGAAGATATTTAAAGGGTAAGTTCTCCATTAGACATGCAAGCATTCAAAAGGGTTTCTTTCAAAGAAACCTTTGAAAGATCCAACAAACGCGATTACTGAAATGCGACACGAAATCAACTGTAAAATCAACGAAGGGATCGAAGTGAAAGTGATATCTAGAAGTGAATTGTGCCAGCCTTTTATGATTCTATGGTGGGATCTGACTACGTTTGACTTATTCGTACATGGCCGGGTGGTGCAGTTTCTTTCGAGCGATCCTGCTTCCAACACGATCATTTTCAATTTCGCGTTTATTGACTTAATTATAGTAAGTGTTAATCGACAATTAAAGATCATTTGGGACTTCTTATCCTTTTCCTGAGACCGAAAAATAAATCAAGGTTTTCAGTGCTCTTTTCGTGTTACTTTTCTTTTCAATTTTAGATTTATTTGCTATAGTAAATTTTAGTTGACAATCGAAACCGAAAAATAAATCAAGCTTTCAGTGTTCTTTTCACATTGTTGCATTTCTTTTTAATATTGATTTTATCATAGTAAATTTTAGTTGACAATCGATATCGAAAAATAAATCAAGCTTTCAGTGTTCTTTTAACATTGTTGCATTTCTTTTCAATTTTAGATTTATTTATTACAGTAAATTTTAGTTGACAAGCAACCCTCAGAAGAATAAATAAAATTTTTCAGTGTTCTCTTTTTCTAAGTTTCTCTAAAAATTTTTCTAAATACATTGCATCCATTTTTCTTACATCTTTGCATTTATTTTTAATTTTGTTTTATATCAATTGTTGATATAATTACAGTGCACTTATTCATAAAATTTGTCAGTGTTTTCTTTCAATACATTGCATCTATTTTTCTTTATTTTTGCGTTGCTTTTTAATTTTGTTTGACATCAATTATTGATATAATCACAATACAATTATTCATAAAATTTGTCAGTGTTTTCTTTCAATACATTGCATCTATTTTTCTTTATTTTTGCATTGCTTTTTAATTTTGTTTGACATCAATTATTAACATAATTACAGCCAGTGTTGATCAGTAATTTATGAAAGTCTGTTTTGAACAAATAACTGTACTTCCTCAGTGATATCTATATTTGTTAAAAATTCTCAGACTGTTTTATGAAGTCTGAATGGTACTGACAGTAGGCTTTAACCGAAGGTTGAAAATAGAGAAGAGGTAGAAGAATGAGCTTGACTATGAGGAACGCAGGAATAGCCATTATCCTGGTTTCTTCGGTGGTTTTCGTTAATGGCCTCCCTGATGGTGCACCAGTGGACACCTGCGTAAAACCATCGAGACCCAATGAACCCCATCATGGTACAGCGAGATCACGACCCGTAGAAACCAGCCCTTACGCGTTCACAGCGTCCTCCTCTCAATATGGGCCTGGCTCTCAAATAACTGGTGCGTTCAATTATTCTTTTCTTTACTAATAGATTTCTTTTTATAATTACAATTAGCTCTTAAACTTGCGTATATATTTTGTTACATATTGTTCTAATAATATTTTGTAATATATTAATAGTTACTGCCAATAATATTTTTTAAAGATATTATTAATCTTTTAAAAATGAACCTTGTAAAGATATTACTAGTTTTTTAAAAGCAATCCTTGTAAAGATATTACTAGTTTTTTTCTTAAAGTAAATCTTGTAAGGATATTATTAATGTAGCTATTAAATCCTCGGACTTTACCACGAGTTTCTCGTAATGTCCAAGATCAACCCTGTCTCAAATGAATTATAGACTCCAGTTACATTACGACACATTTTCGTCGTGATGAAAGGTTGCTGGATCAGAAAAGTCAACAAGATTTACTGTTGTTGATAGCAAGTGTTGTAAGAGAACTCGCTAGGATGCCTTGCGAGAAAAAATTGTGTAATCTACTCTCTGTAATCAGTTTTCACTTAATGTTTGCTAATGCATTCTCTTCACACGGCATTTTCTTTTGTTTCTTTCGATTGTGGCAATACGGAGGAATTGTAAATATTTTCTAGCTACAGGATCTCTAGATTTATAAGCACTTTTGTATCACGTACATTTTCATGGGTGAATTTCGTTTGTTAAATTTTAATCATTTTTAGAACGTTAAATAGTATTAAATTAGATTTGTAAATTAATTTAGATAATATTTGTAAATTACTTACTTTGTCTTGTAGTATTAATAATTGCGAGTTATTTATGGTATTAAAAATTCACACTTAGATATTCAATATTGGTATGCAAGTTTAAGAATTGTACAAGTTTAACAGATACAAAAATTTCACAATTGACTGTGAATTTAACAGCTGCATAAATAATATCTTTACAAGATAAAGTAATATTAATAATTGTGAGTTATTTATGGTATTAAAAATTCACATTTAGATATTCAATATTGATATGCAAGTTTAACAACTGTACAAGTTTAACAGATACAAAAATTTCACAATTGACTGTGAATTTAACAGCCGCATAAATAATATCTTTACAAGATAAAGTAATATTAATAATTGCGAATTATTTATGGTATTAAAAATTCACATTTAGATATTCAATATTGATATGCAAGTTTAAGAATTGTACAAGTTTAACAAATATAAAAATTTGACAACTGACTGTGAATTTAACAGCTGCATAAATAATATCTTTACAAAATAAAGTAATATTAATAATTGTGAGTTATTTATTGTATTAAAAATTCACATTTAGGTATTTAATATTGATATGCAAGTTTAAGAATTGTACAAGTTTATTCTACTCCCTCAATTCTAAAATGATCATCACACCATGACAAATCAACTTAATAAAACACCTGAAAAGTCTCCCACACCATTTTCATATCAAATTAATATCCAGACAAGATCAACTCGGTTATGAAAGAATAACACGATCGAAGCGAGAGAAGTCGAACAATCGATCCAATCAGCGAGGAACTTGAAACGCGTCTAAAACGCCTAACAATCGCGTATTCTGCGGTTCGCGGTTCGGTCTGCATGTTCAATCATCGGAATAATAGCACGCCGTCAAAATTGCCGACGAAAAAGAACGAAAGTCGTCTCCGACACGCCGAGGTCCATGAAATTACGTGTCCAAAATTCGTGTTATTCATGGAGTTTGTTACATGGAGCTCGATACAACTGTGTTTGCGTAAACTCGGCCACCATTTGCTCTAAACCAAAATGTCAGCTTAGTGATTCACCAACCGGTCGCGCGATATTTACAGACGCATTATTTTGTAAAATGGAGATGTAGCAATGCGATTGCGTTCTTGATCAGATTAGTATTTAAATATTTTTTGGAATTAATTATAGCTTGAGACAATTATAGTTTGTGGTTTTGGAATTAATTTAATGGGTTGTCTTGTGGAACATTATGTCCACACTGTCTTTTAGGTACATGATGTAATACTTGATATTTGAAGAATGGTTTATAGAGAGTATTTTTGTGTACATAGTATGAGTCATAAAGTAAAATGTTTGTAATTAGAAATATTACTGAATGTGTAAAATTAATTTATTTACATGCAAACCAATTGATTATAAGTAAAATATCTGTGACTATGTATATAAGTTTTTTTAACGACTGTCTCGATATTTTATACAAACTTAACTAAAAAATTTGCAAGATTTAAAATTGTATAATAAAAGAGTATAAGTAGTATTCAATATTTAGAATTAAAAAGAAATAATCATCTAATAATTCTCTATATTAAAAATTAATATCCTATATGTACATATAGAAGCTTGATTTATAAGCAAACTTTATTTAAAAGAACATAAAACTTTCTACATTGTGACAAACATTATAAATTATTATTTCTGAAACAATCAACCACATATATCGTTAACTTATACATATAAACGATATTACTAAACATTGAAATATTATTGCAAACTATTGAATATTAATATATCACTGGAATTTAATAAATATTAATAACGTATGTTATCTGTCTATCTGTTATCCTAGTTAACATATGTTACCAGCGTTAAAAAGTAGAATACAAAGATAACGAAGTATGTACGAAACATTTCTTCCTTCAGGTCAGACAACTTTTTCGCATCTCATTTCAAACAAAACTATGCGTGCACGATTAAATCGGAAATACGATGTTGCACAATCGATTAGCTCGATGTGTAACTAGCGAGACAAATTCCAGGTTCAGGTTTTTCATTCAGGCTTTAACTAACTCGTTTAAAAAGGAGACAGATATGCGATCGCCTAGCCTATCTACTCCTACATTCTTCGATCTAAAAGATCGAAGAGAGGTATTTCAGAGAGATAACTCGTTTAGTAGCTGTTGGGTTTAGTAATATTTTGTTGAGTAACATTGTATAACCCAAATTCTCAGGTTCTCAAGGTTTTGGATCTTCAAATTTACATAACTGCAAATTTTCATATTTTCGAGTTCTCACACCCCCAAATTTTCAGAGTTCCAAATCTCCACGTCCTCAAATTTCCACGTCCCCAAATTCCTACGTTTCCAAATTCTCACATTTCCAAATTCCCACATCCCCAAATTCTCATATATTCAAATTCCCACATCCCCAAATTTCACGTCCCCAAATTCCCACGTCCCCAAATTCCCACGTCCCCAAATTCCCACGTCCCCAAATTCCCACGTCCCCAAATTCCCACGTCCCCAAATTCCCACGTCCCCAAATTCCCACGTCCCCAAATTCCCACGTCCCCAAATTCCCACGTCCCCAAATCCCCACGTTCCCAAATCCCTACGTTCCCAAATTCCCACGTTCCCAAATTCCCACGTTCCCAAATTCCACGTCCCCAAATTCCTACGTTCCCAAATTCTCACATTTCCAAATTTCCACGTCCCCAAATTCCCACATCCCCAAATTCTCACGTCCACAAATTCCCACGTCCCCAAATTCCCACGTCCCTAAATTCCCACGTCTCCAAATTCCCACATCCCCAAATTCCCACATCCCCAAATCCCTAAAGCTCCAAATTCTCACATCCCCAAATCCCTAAACCCCCAAATTCTCACATCTCCAAATCCCTAAATCCCCAAATTCCCATATCCTTAAATCTCTAAACCTCGAAATTCCCACATCCCCAAATCCTTAAACCCCCAAATTCCCACATCCTCAAATACTTAAACCCCCAAATTCCGACATCCCCAAATCTCTAAATCTCCTAACCTTCAAACCCCCAAAATCAAAAATATCCAAATCCTAAAATTCCCAAATCTCCAAATCCCCAAATCCCCTAATCGCGAAACATATCACCGAATACAAACACGATTATCCGCTCTCTGGTCACCTAATCGTTCCTTTGCCAGCTTAATACGTAATAACGCGTATCGATCAAAAGAAACAAAAGAAAAAAGCCGTACGGTCAGGGCAGAAAATTACTACGTCGATGAAAAGAGAAAAGAGCACAAAGAGTTTGAAACACAACCGAGCACAAACGAACAAACGCTGACTTTAATTTCGATGGTGGCTTCACAAAGTTGTTCAACTTGTACAAAAGCTTGTTGCGTTTACGAGTTTTCTGAATAATTTCAGCGGGAGCGATTATATTGTCGCTTTTATAAGCAATCCGTTAATCAATTTCATTCTGCTTCTTTTTTTAACTCTTTGTTGGTTGCATTTGTAATTATTGTAGAATCGTTATTGGTTGATGTCAAGTTATATTGTTGGCAAAATTATTTAGTTTTAAGGTATATTATGTGCAAAATTATTTGGTATGAAGTTATATTATATTCAAAATTATTTAGTATTAGTTTGCATTATATTAAAAATTATTTAGTATCAAGTTATATTATATTTAAAATTATTTAGTATCAGTTTACATTATATTAAAAATTATTTTGTATTAGTTTACATTATATTAAAAATTATTTAGTATCAAGTTATATTATATTCAAAATTATTTTGTATTAGTTTACATTACATTAACAATTATTTAGTATCAAGTTATATTATATTCAAAATTATTTTGTATTAGTTTACTTTATATTAAAATTTATTTAGTATCAAGTTATATTATATTCAAAATTATTTAGTATTAGTTTACATTATATTCAAAATTATTTAGTATTAGTTTACATTATATTCAAAATTGTTTAGTATTAATGTATATCATATTCAAAGTTATTTAGTATCAACATATACTACATACTAAATTATTTAGTCTAAGTTATTATCAATTAAATGTACTTATTTTGCATTCTTAACAAATAAATTATTTTACTCGACACATTCGTTTGTAAGTTATATTACAAACAGTGATTATGTTAGAACACTATTAACGATATAGAGCTTACAAGTAGAAGTTTCATAAAAATCGATTCACAAGGTTTTTAATCAAACTCACGAACATTTTCGAGGATAGAGACCATAAAGCTAAACACAAATAAAAAATGACCGCGACACTGTGCGATATTATAACCCTGACCGTGAACTAGTTTAGTCGAATATAAAGATCAGGTAAACGACGTTTACTCAGCTCTTTAATAATTCACAATCAATTACTTACCTTCTTACTACGTCTTTGTGAACATTACGTTGCACGAACAAATGAATCAGTGGTTTTCTACAATCACTTACATTATGTTACAATTACAAAATAATATCACTATTAAAATTTACAATTAATATTTTTTTATGTACATACAATGTTATAAATATACTATTAAATATTTTTATGAAGTATAACATTTTCATTGAAAATTATTCTGAATTATAATCACAATCTTGTGAGTCAATTTTTAGAAATTTTTGTATTAAACTTGCACACTTTTTTTTACAATATTAATTATAATAAGTATTTGCTTTTTTAACAGAATTGAAGGGACATTAAGAAATTTTATTGTAAATATTAAGAATGATATCAAAATTTATTTCATCACAAACAAAAATATAACAAATCTAATAAATAAATATAATAAACCTTGCAACTGATTATTAAATAAAATAATGCAAAATCTAGGAAACATTCATTTTATAGTAAAAAAGGAAGGAGCCATCAGGGTAGAGCGATTTTCTTGTCACAGAGTATATAGTACTTCGAGGAGCAACGAAGGTTCCTCTTATCACGATTGAGCTTCACGGTGATTAATTTACAACTAACTTGTCCTTCTTCAATTGCTCGGAACATTCGGCACTGTGCAGTACGATTAGAATGAAATGGAGGACGAGGAAGATGGCATCGTAACACACAAACTCTAGCTTCCACATTTATCTTCAAATAATTTAAACAAAATGTAAATCTATTCATTAAATACACAATTTATTATTTATTCGATGAAAAGATGTTTTTATTATTGTACTACTGATTGTTCTTTTTTCAGGAATTTCTTGATAGTTTTATTTTTAATAATTATTTTTTTTAGTCGTCATAAGTGGAGCATCATTTAAAGAATTTCTAGTAGAAGTCGAATTTTAATTTTTAATAGCAATTTTTCTTACAGGATTATTTCTTAAGAATTTAAAAAAAAATTTTAATAATTGCTTCTTTTTTTAGGAACCATCAGTGGAGCACTGTTTAAAGAATTTCTAATAGAAGTCCAATTTTAATTTTTAATAGCAATTTTTCTTACAAGATTACTTCTTAAGAATTTCAAAAAAAAAATTTTATTAATAATTGTTTTTTTAGAAACCATCAGTGGAGCATCATTTAAAGAATTATTTCTTAACAATTCCTAATAAAAATTGATTTATATCATCGAATTAATAATAATTCTTCTTACAATATTATTTCTTAAGAATTTTTTTATATATTTTTTTTAATAATTGTATATTTTCCAGTAACCATTAATGGAGCACCATTTGAAGAATTCTTTCTTAAGAATTTCTAATAAAAATTGAATTATATTATTGAATTAATAATAATTCTGTCTAAAGGAATATTTCTTAAGAATTTCTTTTCTATTTTTTTTTAAACTGTTTATTTTTCAGTGACCATTAGTAGAACACCATTTAAAAGATTCTTCCTTAAGAATTCCTAATAAAAATTGAATTATATTATCGAATTATTAATAATTCTTCCTAATGTATTATTTCTTAAGAATTTCTTTTATATTTTTTTTTAGACTGTTCATTTTTCAGTAACCATTAGTGGAGCATCATTTAAACAATTCTTCTTTAAAAATTCCTAGCAAAAATTGAATTAAAAATAATTCTATCTAAAGGATTATTTCTTAGAATTCGTTTTATATATTTGTTTTTAATAATTGTTTTTTTTTCAGTAACTATCAGTGGAGCACCATTTAAAGGATTCTTCCTGCAGGGACGTGATCCTGACACGAACAGCTGGATCGGTTCGTGGGCTCAAACGGAGAACACCAACACACATCCTGAGTGCAGTGCTGTGACACATGCTGATCCAGAAGTGAAACAGCACGCGACGCTTATTTGGAATGCACCACCGAATGCACGAGGACGAGTGTATTTCACGTGAGTAAAGATTTACGTATTTCTTTCCAACAAGATAAAGTGTCCAAGTGTGAACGTATTTGTTATTTGAAAGTCAATAAGACATTTCCTTTACTCTTCACTTTCAGGCAATTTTATTTACAAATTAGCGTCTGTTCAAGATTGCATGAAATATATTACAAAACGTAGAAATGTCATAAACTTTACATAAATGTAAAGATTTATGGAATACATTGAAAGTTTTTTTTTATACAAAGTTCGTAGGGAAAAATTAGAAAGTTTATAGTTTAAGTTTTTAAGTTTTTTATTGTAGTTTTTGGGGTAGTTCTTGCAGGGAGAAAGATTGTAGAGTTCCAGAGTTTCTTATGACTTTTTACAGTTTGTATTACTTTAGTGCAAAATGAGAAACTTCAAATTGGAAGATATTTTTATTTAATGAACTTGTTTGGAGGAAGTTTCTTGATTTTAAGGTTTCTTAGAATTAACTTTGACTTTATATTATTTTTCAAGTATTTAATTTTTATTGCATTTTGAAGTATTTAATTTTAATTGCATTTTGAAGTTTTATATTTTTATTGCATTTTAAAGTGTTTTGTCATATTTTCAAACATTCAGTTTTGTGTCATAATATATTTATTTTCTATGACATTCCATTTTTTATTATATTTCAGAGTACTTACATTTGTAATACATTTCAAAGTACCTAAATATGTACATTTTAAAGTATCCAATTTCGCGTCACATACAAACTATTTAATTATGCATAAAATTCTAAAGAATTCACCGTAGTAACCTAACCTAACCACAGCACGTCGAAAATGGAAAGTAAACGATGTCATTCGTCGTTTATCACAAACTGGGAAATAAACGATATCATTTATTCCAATTTCATTAAATTTAAGCAACGTTTATTACATTCAAAGCGCGACCACAGAGTAAAAGGGTTAATCACAGACAAGCCCCAGTTGGAATAGTAATTACTAACCACACCCGCAGTGTAATAACACACTGTGAAAATGGAACCTATATGTGAAAAGTCCATATTCTAATTAAATACAAATATTTCCATTAAATACAAATATTGCCGATGCAAAAAATATTTATCATCGAATCGGTTAAATTCACTCTCTTCCATGATTATTTACAATCAGTGTATAAAAACGTATTCTATAATTAATTAATATCAAACAACTTTATTATCAAATATTTTAAAATATTGTTATTGTTGTTTTATTAGTAACTTTTAAATAAAAAGTCTTCTGAATCATAGATTAATTCATTTGATATTAATTAATGATTTAAAAAATTCAACATTGATTAACGATTAAACAATTCAACTATAATTAACGATTTATTAATTCAATATCATTTAACGATTAAAAAATTCAACTATAGTTAATGATTTAATAATACAATTTCAATTAATGATTAAACTATGCAACTATTATAAATCATTTAATAATTCAATATTATTTAACGATTAAAAAATTCAACTATAATTAATGATTAAATAGTACAATTTTAATTAATGATTAAAAAATTCAACTATAATTAATGATTACATAATACAATTTTAATAAACAATTAAACAATGTAACTATAATAGACAATTAAATAATACAATTTTAATTAACCATTAAAGAATTCAATTATAATTAATGATTAAATAAAACAATTTTAATTAATCATTAAAGAATTCAATTATAATTAATGATTAAATAAAACAATATTAATTAACAATTATATAATGCACCATTAATCAACACTAAAATAATACATTAATTAACAATGAAACAATATCAAAAGAATATCTACGTCCGTTAAATAAAAATGAGCCCAAGGGACGCACTCAAACGTCCGCATAAAATTAATGAATTTCCCCAAGAGAATTTATCAGCAGAAGTTTAAACGATCGTCCACGATTCATGGTCGTTAAAACGAAGGGAAAAACGTGCGTGCGTATAATTCTCGGACGGAAAATTGCGATACACGACAAGTCGCAACGAGGACGAAGGATTTGACAGAGGATAACGCAATAAGACTAATTGTACATCGTTGGCCGGTGGAAATAATCATTTCCGTCGAACGATTACCCGCGAATGAACGCATACACGCCAGACTTGCTAATAAACCATCGAGTTTCCCGGCAACATTAGATGCCAGAAAGTTCACCTACGAGTTTGAAAGGGATACGATGAATTGCTCTGGCGCAGTCTCGGAATACTTTGTTTTAATCGTTTTGGGGCAACTTTTTTTCGCTGCTGGTAAAAATGTTGCTGTGAGAGGTTAAGTTTCTTTCGTATCTGTGCCATGTGCACTTTTTCTTTTTCCAGTTGTGGATGATTGAATACAAAGTTGGTAAATTGATGTTGTTTGGGGATATTTGGGAAAGTTTGTCTTGAAGTGTTTGGGGATGGTGAAGTGTGACTGATTGTGAGCTATGTGGAGTAGTATTAATTTGGGGGATGTTATTCTGTAGCAAGTTGTGAATTATTGGGTGTTGGATCACCTGGATATATATTTCAGTAGATCTCTATGTTCTCAAATCCCCACATCTCCGAATTCCCACGTCTCCAAATTCCCAAGTCTCCAAATTCCCACGTATCCAAATTCTCACATTTCCAAAATACCACGTCCCCAAATTCTCACATTTTCAAATTCCCACGTGCTCAAATTCTCACATTTCCAAATTCCCACGTCCCCAAATTCCCATGTTCCCAAATTCCCACATCCCCAAATTCTCACGTCCCCAAATTCCCACATCCCCAAATTCCTAAGCCCCCGAATTCCCACATACCCCAAAATACCACGTCCCCAAATTCTCACATTTTCAAATTCCCACGTGCTCAAATTCTCACATTTCCAAATTCCCACGTCCCCAAATTCCCACATCCCCAAATACTCACATTTCCAAATTCCCACGCCCCCAAATTCCCACATCCCCAAATCCCTAAACCCCCAAATTCCCACATGCCCAAATTCTCACATTT